TTGGCTGTTGAATCTCCCGGACCAGTCGTCGTGTTCGACGTTCCACTCTTCATTATTGTTTTCGCAGCTGTTGGTGCTATGCTTATCGCATCCCTGGGTATGGGCAACGGTGTCGATTGCCGTTTGTTTCTTTGTGGTTCTACAAAATCAACTCTGGTGCCTTGCGTACGATCCGCTGCCGGTCTCTCTTGTGGTGTAGAACCTCTCAAGATTGCATCCAACTTCGCCTGTATTGCACACGAACTCTCTGCTTGACTCTTGCTCATTGTGTCCATTCTCCTTTCCAGGCTCCCTAATTGGCTGTTAACATCATCATATCGGTTCTTCAACTGTTGCATGTCTGTTTTGATGTTCTTTTCTCGTTCTTCATTGGTGGCCTCTACCTTGTCTGACATTTCCTTGAGTCTCTCCTCTGTTGCCTTAGCTAGGTTAAAATAACTGTCTAGATACTCGTGCTTGTTGTATCTTATCTCCTTTTTTATCACCTCTCTGTCTTCTTCACTGTTCTTAAGTCTTTTGTCGATCTGATTTAATTTCGCCAACAAATCGCCCAGCTCAATGGTAATCTCTTCATGGTCAGCCGTGGGTTTCTCTTCGGCCATAGCCTCTGCTTTAGCTTGTTCCTCATTCTGGCCGGTTTCTGTCGCTTTCGTGCTCACTGTACCAAATGTTCGTGCTCTTTCTGCTTTTGGCTCTTCAGTCACGTTTTCTTTCGTTTTTATTCCGAACATTATTCCCAATTTTTCCGTAAAAGATGTCCTCTTTACTTGAGAGTCTTCTTTCACCGTTTCTTCGGTGTTGCCTATTGCATCTTCCGCGTCATCTATCGGTGAGAACTCTATGGGTTTCTGGTTCGGTTCCTCTGTATTGGGCATTGGAGTTGACTCTGTCGCCATCTTCCCTGTTTCATCCACACTTTGATCGGGTGTCTCTAGATCAATCTCGATGGTGGGTTCTACTCTCTCCCCTTCCGTGCCCTCTTTCGCCCTGTTCTCCGCTGTACTCCTTGTGCTGACCATGTTAACTGAAAAGTTCTTCTTTGTTATCTTCGGACCCATTGGTGTTGCTTTGCGTAGCGACGAATTATACTTTGCTTCGGTCGATCTTTTTTCAGCTACCGGTACCCTGCTCCGCCTCATTATTTACAATTGTTATTATTTACAATATTATTATCTACAAAAATTCTATTCTAAGGTTTAAAAACTCCAAGGAAAAAGAAATTAATAATTCGCTAAAAACAATTTTTCTTGAACTCTTGTAAGCTCTTTCGTGTTAGGTTAGGATAGGGAACGTGTTGAACGTGTTGTTATACTTGGTGCTTCAACCTAACCTCCTACTTTTGTAGTACCCCCTTCCTAATGCTGTTCCAAGACTTTCTCTTTACCGTCCCAAGACCGTTCAGCGTTGTCCCAGTACTTCTCGTTGGTATCTTTAGACCAGCGTCCCAAGACCAATGGCCCAAGGCTAACGTCCCAAGACCAACGTCCCAAGACTAACGTCCAAAGACCAATGTCCCAAGACTAACGTCCCAAGACCAATGGCCCAAGACTAATGTCCCAAGACTAACGTCCCAAGACCAATGTCCCAAGACTAACGTCCCAAGACCAATGGCCCAAGACTAATGTCCCAAGACCAATGGCCCAAGACCAACGTCCCAAGACTAATGGCCCAAGACCAACGTCCCAAGACTAACGTCCCAAGACTAATGGCCCAAGACCAACGTCCCAAGACTAACGTCCCAAGACCAATGGCCCAAGACCAATGTCCCAAGACTAACGTCCCAAGACTAATGGCCCAAGACTAATGTCCCAAGACTAACGTCCCAAGACCAATGTCCCAAGACTAACGTCCCAAGACCAATGTCCCAAGACCAATGTCCCAAGACCAATGTCCCAAGACCAATGGCCCAAGACTAGTGTCCCCAGACTAACGTCCCAAGACCAATGTCCCAAGACCGCTTCGTACCAAGACTGCTCCGGTCCAAGACTGCCCCAAAGTTGCACTGTCCCAAGACTGTGTTGCTCCAAGACTGTCCCCAGACTGCAATGTCCCTAGACTAGTTCGGTACTGTCCCAAGACTCGTTACTGAGTGTCTGGATATAGGATTTCTTTCTTCTTCGTTGTAGGGACTCCTTGGTTGTCTGTACCTTGTACCACCACTCAAGCTCTAGTGAAAATTTTCCCAAAAACCCTCTCTTGGTTGCCAAATCTGGCCCCCCTTTTTTAGTTACCTCTTTTTGAATGTTCCCAGCAATTGGGAGCCACAACTTGTGTGCAGGTATCTTGTGATCACCTGTTTGTATTAAAAACCAATCGCAAATCTTCCCCAAAACGCAACAATATCTATAGAAAAAATAAAATTCTGTACCGAAAAAATAACAAAACAGAGTAATCGACCCACCTAAAATTCAAAGGAGACAAATGTCAACCTTCTTTCAAAAAAAAAAATGTCTGGTACCTAATTGCCACGCGTTTTCCTCCCCCCACTAGTTGTCTTATGAGGTGTCACGAAAACTGTCTATATCCGTTCCCCCCTACCGATCCAACCAGCGTACCAATCTTAACTCGAGATAAGTTTTGGATGTCCACCTATTGTTACCACGCGTGTTGATGGCTAATGTAACTAAATCAACGATGTCGATTAACTAGTTACTCTAATTCCCCCCTTTTTACAATTTACAACCGCCAACCTCTAACCTAACCAGCCCCCCTGCTAACCTCCCCCCTGTTTAGCCCCCCTCTTAAGCCGAAAAATCCCTTAAGCGCCGGGTGCTAAACCTCTCTTGAGAAAACCGTAGACCTGTTTCCAGGTCTGCTTGAGTAAAAACTGTTTCAAAACAATGGGACTCCGCTTATCCAATTTTACACTTATTTCCTATAATGTAATGTGGATTCTAACGATACCCGTTGTCCGACTTGAGAACACCCCTGTGCGTCCTCTTGTAGTGGCCCTGTGCTGGTTGTCTCTGTTCTGCCCTTGACAGCAGACCCACTTTCCCACTCGACTGGTCACCTCTTCCAATCAAGTCTCCTGGTGGTCCGTTTCGATCCTTGTGAACCTCTTTCCCACTCGACTGGTCACCCTTTCCAGTCAAGTCTCCTAGTGGTCCGGTTGGGTCGCAATCTATCTAAAAACCCTTAACAACGCCCCCCACTCGGGCACCCTACCAAGGTCACTGGTTTAAACTGCTAGATTGATCGAAACGATCGGTCTTGTAAAACAGTATGTGTATACTATTTAATTAATACAAAGGTTCGATCCAACTAATTTGGTATCAAAGTCACTGTCTTTTTTCGTTTTATGGTTTTTGTTCCTATTTGTTTTTTTTTTTTTTTTTTTTTTGCTCGTGTTTTTGTCCCCCTAGTTGCCCCCCTTTACTCGGTTAGCTAAGCCTCGTTCGGAGAGCGTACCAGGAAGTTTTCTTGAGTTTTCTTAAAAAGCTATCACGGTACAACCGGAAGGTTTACACATTCCCGCTGAACCGTACCACCGGTACTCTAGAATGGGCATGTAGCCCGGAGCTGTGTCAAGTGGGTTCGACTCCGTAGTCATGATGTCGTAAAAACACCCAGGAGCGCCATAAAAACACTATGTAACAGTCGCCTACTTTAGTCACATATGAGGCTTAAGAAAAATAGGCCCTATAACCATTGGCTCAAGAGTCAGGGACACTATCTCTTGTGTTTTTCCGCCTCAAGAACGGTCGGAGCCAATTCGGTTCGCTTGCGACATGAGACTGGAACCCATTACAGCTTAAAGGCCACTACCAAAATACCCCCCCCCCCACTCTAGAAATAAAAACGTCCCCATACTTAGGCCTCGGGATACCCAAAATACATGAACGCCATTAAAAACCGGGTCGGAACCATCCGCTTAGTTACTTTTTATTGGACAGTGGAACTTTGATCCATTTCAGATGGATCAACCTAAAACTCGCCTTATCTCAACATAACTATCATAAAATGCACTCGAGAAATTTAAATTGGAACTTACATATCGACGCACTTGAGTATGAGGAGTAAGTTAAAGATGAGCAGCTTGAGAATTAACTAATATAACTAAATAAGTTTTAAGGCCAATTAGTTTCAATAACAGAAGTAAGTTTTGTCTCTAGAATCAAAGTCTCTGAATGAACCCTTTGGACACTCGAGTTGTCCACTCTTCCATTCAGAGTCCACTCCTTTCCATTCGAATAATTGTTCTGTCTCAAGTCCGTATTCAATTCTCCTGTTTTCAGGACAAGACAGCTCTACTCTCTTGATATTTCGTATCGAGAAATTGCGAATAGCAATTTCCTGCCTTTTTCTTGAGTAGTTTCCCGCAATTGTTAATTCGGGTGTTCTGATTTCTGACTTTTTCATTTTCAGTTGGTTCGAGAAAATTGAGCATGACATGCTCAATTCGAATTTTGCAAAATTAAAATTTCACTCCAAAATTGCGTATTTCTCAAGGTCAAACCCCTAGACAATCAAACCCCTAGACAATCAAAAGTCGTTTGACTGATGGCCTAAAAATGGTAACTTTTTACTTTGCCCTAAACAGACCAGAAAATCAACTGGCAAGGTCGAGACGGTGAAAAACGAGTAGAATTAAGGTAACTGACGCCTGCCAGTCGTTGATAGGTACTTTTTCTACGCTCCGTCGCTGTGTGATATTTGGGCGAATGTTACATATACTTGTATGTTTGTATCAGAGAATATCACGTGTACAAGCGCGTACAATTCCCCACGAGGGAATTGGAGCGAAAGAGCATAAATTGGACCTTCAAAATGCATTTTAGAGAGTACAAACGTGAATTTGTGCTATACTTTGTCCACTAGTGGTCGCGAATATCACGTGGTTTTCTACTGTTTTATGCGAATTTGATTTTTAATGAATTTGACTTCTGAATCAAAGAGAGAAGAAAGACTTAATGTACACTAGTCTTAAATATTCTTCTAGTCGTAATAATAATGAAGCTCTTTAGAACTTATCCGTCGATTTTTTGTGGTTTTTATTTTTTAGAAAATATTTGTATCATGTCTGTGATAAGTGCAAGATTTAGCAGCAAACATCGTTCAGTGCTCCCGGACACATCCCTTGAAGTTCAAGTCAGAGCTGCAGAACCGGCAGATTCAAGCGCCATCCAGTCGCTAGTTACTCACTTGACGGAGGAGTTATTCGGCCCTTTCAACATACTGAACATAATGTTAGTATTCGAAATCGCTATCATATATTTTTGGACTAATTTTTAACTAATGCTGAAAAAGGAAATTGTGGGATTTTTTTTGTTTCAGAGAAAAGAGTCTGTTCAGTGTGACTCTAATTGACTCGTCGGATGAAGTCATTGGTTTCGCCGCCTTCTCAGACTGCCCTCCACCTTCGGCCCGAATGACTTCATCCAATTGGCCAACCCAAATGGCCCAGGAGCTGAGTTTGGAAAATTTCACAGTATGTGCTAACTTGCTAATATCTAGAAGTATATAAGAAGTCCCTGAAACAACCAACTGTGAATGGGGATGATTCACAGGATCGCATGATTCTGATGAAGCAATTCGAGTATCAATTAAATAATTTAATAGAATTTAATTAAGCTACAAGAAGATTTTATGTTGTAGGTAACATCGAAATAATATGCTGAAAAATGTTGAGGCACTACAGTTAACATTGCAGTTTTTTTGAGATGTTCCTATCAGAATTGTAGCAGACGTTCCTTAAGAATCATGACCAGACTTTCCATTATTATCCGTTCTCTGTGCATTATGCACAGACACTGGTTTTTCAGCACGAGATTAATTTGATAACGCGCCTCCTGGCGTTTAAAAAACCATATTTTTGATTTAAAACAATCTGTGATTGGAGTTTTTCAGATCATATTGTTGATAAAGATTAATGAACGTAGTGAAGACTCTTATATAGGTCTAGATTTTTTTTCCAGGAAAAAGTCTTAAAATATTGATGCACTTAGGTATATATACTTTTTCAGTTGAATTGAAGTTCATCTGCTGAAAATGACCTAAATAGCACTCTCCAAATACGAACGTGCAAATGGCGCGAAAAAACGTGAATGATTTCTAGTTTCGAAAGTGGAATTTAATTTTTAGATTTTCAGCGGAATAAAAAACTTTACCTGTTGATCCATTTTTCTCAAATTGGGTTTATGTTATCAAAAAAGCGATGCCGTATATAGTATTTAGAAATGTTTTAAAGGATGTTTATGTTCTTTTACTTGTTTCAGAGCTTGAACACGATGTTTCTGCATTTGTTTGTGGCAAAGACAGACTTTGCTGTTGGTTGCATCCAAGAAATTGTCAAGTGAGTACAAATGGCATGAAATTTAATTTAAAAAATTGAATGCATTTTCAAATCATTTGAACAGTTCCCATTATAATGCATTAAGTTCTTATGTGGCTTGTGCGATTACCAAGAGTGTTGCAATCAAGAACTATGTTTCCGCAAGAGACTTTGCCCAACAACAGTTAAATCAGGTTTTATATTTCCGATAATTCAGCTGGCCTCTCGTAATATTTGCACTTTTTGAATTTTTTGCGATAGCTGGAAAGTGACTGTTTTGTATAAAATTCGAATTAATGATGATTTAGTTACTATAAATAGCTGGTAAATGAAACGAATAAATTGTTGGAAAATTACCAAGCGTTTTTAATTGAAATTACATCTGAACAAATTATCTTCTATTATACATATATATGCGGGCTTCACTATCTCGCCATGGTTAAGCTTTTTCAATGTAATACTTTTGCATGCTTAACGACAGAATTTTTTCACTTTTAAGCTATATCGTACATTGCAAGGGTTAAATTTTTTTTTCGATTTTCCAGTTTAATGTCAACGATTATTTCATCAGTTGTGAAATTAGCAACCAAGTGGTGAGATGCTAAAAGTATTCCCCAGGGGTTGTAAACTTGGTCGCCATATATGAATAACCAAACCTGTTTAGCTTACGAGATACTTCAATTTTCGAGATTTTTCAAAAATTTCGAGAAAATTTGAGTTTGAAAAGTTTCACAAACTTTGATGTTCTCAATCCTGTTGTTCGATGCTGTCAGCAAACTCTCAGAGATTGCGAATCTTGCCTCCGAATCTTGATAAAGGGAGGTTATCATCATCAGTTATCTATACTAGATCTCTTTTTTCAAGGTTTTGTGTTCTGCACGGTTCTTTTTGCGTTAGTGCATATCGGTTAGATATTTCCAAAATTCTGCCATCAGTTTGTGCAAGTAGTTGAATGGTTTTCTCGGGCAACTTCCATCTTCATTAAGCTCGTAAATGGTAGTGGTCAACTACAATGAGCAATTGACTTGGCTTGAAGCCATTTAGCAGCATTGATGGAGTGAGCGGCACAGTGTCTTTGGCATCATCCGAGATCGTTCTGATCGGTCTTGAATTGAGTTTGATTCTATCTGACAAAGAACTGTGTACAGCTCATCTAGTTTAAGTTTTCCTATGTTGCTTGTTGTCTTGTGATATAGCAGTTTCATTCATTCAACAGTAGCTTCCCAAAGACCTACGAAACTTGGAACCCTTTCAGATGTATCAGTCAATTTGATACCTAAGTCTATAACCTGATCAGGTAGGCTGTCTATTTTGTGTTTGTCTTGCAGAAGTCTTTTCTTTAAATTAACTCGTTAAGTGATCCGATGAAGTTAGTCCCATTATCGGAAAAGTTATGCTTGGGTCATCCTTGTCGAGCAATGAACCTTCTGATAACTTTCAAGCATTCTTCAGTGTTCAAGGCTTTTGAATTATCCAATTGTTTTGCTTTAGTAGAAAAGCAAATGAAAACTGCTATGTTGCACTTGAGTAGTTGATCGGCTTCCTTGTAATACCTTGGTCTGCCTAAGTTGTCATGGGTAGACCTAACTAGAGTAGTTTGCCATTAGCTGGTTCATTTCTCTGCCATGAAACCTAATGCAAGTGATGCAGTTGCCTATCCTTGTTAGCACCATCGTCTTGACTCGTATGATCCACAATGGCATTCAGTCCACAGTGTAGTTGAAAAAGGCGACTATGGCGAATCACAGTTCTCGAGAAATGAGTAGTTGATCGGCTTCCTTGTAATACCTTGGTCTGCCTAAGTTGTCATGGGTAGACCTAACTAGAGTAGTTTGCCATTAGCTGGTTCATTTCTCTGCCATGAAACCTAATGCAAGTGATGCAGTTGCCTATCCTTGTTAGCACCATCGTCTTGACTCGTATGATCCACAATGGCATTCAGTCCACAGTGTAGTTGAAAAAGGCGACTATGGCGAATCACAGTTCTCGAGAAATGAGTGTTCTGAGGCAAGATCACCAGTAGTATTTGTGCTGGCTCGTTTAGTCAATCAACTGCTGCGAGTCGTCCACCGATTTTTAGCAATCCATCATCGTCTAATGTTTTGTAGTTTTGTCCTTTTCTGATTGCTTTCAGTTCTTCGTCGAAATGCTGCTCTTGAACGTCTAGTACAAGAAGGCTCTTTCCTAAGTTGCATTTGCGATTGTCGTTGTTATTCTTCAGAAGTTTGAGGGCGACTCTTGCGACTAAAGCTCCGATGCGTAGAGTTTTATCAAAAGATCCGCATCGTTCGAATTCGCAGAATTTTCTGCTCTTTTTGTCTATCCGACGCTGAGTGTTTTTGCTTTTTCTGCTTGAGGGGTTTCCTCCCCACCAGCTGCCTGGTAGTACAGCCAAAAAAAACCTAGGCTATTCATCCAGTTTTGGATTTGGTGCGCTATATGTGCCCTAACATTGTCATCACATTCCGAATCACCATCCAATGCTTTTGGAATAGAATCTTTGGCCTTACCGTCCCAGGGGTCTATAGTCCAAGAAGATCAAAAACTCGTCCCAAGTTACTCACTATCATCAGGCAAGTGATTGTAGATGGTCGAATGCTTTCGGGCAAAGCGGATGAGCTGCTCTCCATTGTTTAAGTGGACTTCCTGTTTGTCTTTTTTTGTCAAGTTAGCGTGTCTTAACTGACCAAAAGATTCTGGGTGCAATCCTGTTTTTTTTTCTGCCATTTGATTAAATCTGCGCTGAACTCTCGATCTATTTAAAAACGGAATTTTTTTGGGCATGATTGAATGGCCTTTGTTGGGGGTTCGTTTTTTGATTCTTCAATTTGAAGCTAAAATAGGAGACATCTGGATGATTTCTGTCAGTGGGGCAAGTCAGTGAAGCGTGCTGGTAGCCAGTTTGACCTCGGTATTTGATTTCCTCGTTCGGAATTTTTCCCCAAATGTTGGCCACTTTTTGGGTGTAATCCATCTCAAAATTAAATTTTTTTTTAACCCTTGTTCATGCGTAATCATCTTTAGGCAATCATGGTGAATGCGACTGTCAAAGTTTTGGTTTTCTTTGTCTGATTTTGAAGCGTCTGGAGTTGATCATGGGCGAAAATCTAGATTCATTGGGGATCTGTTGGGATCCAAATGCACGACATCATGGTTGCCAAAGGTTCCTGCTTCCTTGTCATCATGTGAGCTGAACTTGGCCACATTTTTGACTGTTTCGGCAGCAAATGGATGCAAAATCAACACTCGAGACTTTGGCTGGCTTCATAATGTTTGCGATGCCATGGGGCATGCCTATGGTCTTCACTGAATCCAATTTATCCATACACTGGAACCAGTCAGAAACTTGTCTGACCATGTCAATTGAGGCAGGCTTTGTCAAAATTTTCCATGATACTTTGTAAGTAGGCTTTGTCCAAAGTTTCCATGAAGTTGCAAGCAGGCTATGTCCAAAGTTTCTATGATACTCTGGCGAGTTCTGATGGATTGTTCCTCGGTGTCTGCACTAATATTGTCGTCAACGTAAAGGGACTAGCCAGTTGCAAGCTTTGTCTGTTCATCATCTGTTTTCTCGATGGTGTCTGACATGACGCCTATGGCGTGATAACTAGTTGAAGATATGCCGGAGCTGACACCAGGCAGCCGGTACTTCTCAATTGGATCCTATTCTTTTCTCAAGTAGAGCTGATGTAGGTTTCTGTCTTGGGTGTGGTTCCATTTGCATGTAAATCTTGGTAATGAGGCCAGATAGTGCAATTTTGAACAATCGGAACCGGACAGGGTGCTGATGCTTGGGACCAACCAGCAGACAATTTTTCAGTGATTTTCCATTTGAAGTAGGAGCTGATCTGTTGCAAACAGCCGTGCACCTTGTTATAATTAAATCTGACTTCCAAACTGCATGATGAGTTATTTGTTGTTGGCAGCAATTGATATGACACAGCTAGATTCTCGATATGGCCAATGTCAATTATCTCTTGGAAGAAGTCGTTGTATTCGTTTTTAGCGTCACCATTCTGCCTTTGCTTCTTTTCATTGGAAATGAATTGCTGGAAATCTTTGAGTGCTGAATGACCAATATCGGGCAACCATTCATGGGTGTTTTGGTTTTAGATCCCATGTGATTTGTTGATGGAAAATCTCAATATAATTCGTCCGTCTGAGCCATACGTTTTCGTCTGATCGAAATTTCGGATGCACTGAAGCTCTTTCCAGGAGTGTTGGGATTCTGGTGATGAAGGATTATCTTCAATTTCACAGAATCTGTCTAATGTGGTGGACTGGTTGTCAAGGAAGTTGATTCTGTACCATGGCGCGTGTGTTCGTGTTGTTCGTCGGTATCAGCAACACCTGAGACTGTACAACCATGGATCGTGTCGGTTAGCAATATAGTTCGTTCGTTGACGTTCCGTGACTTCACAATGCGTGTAGACGGATTGTCCAATCAGGTGATCAATTGCAATTTGTTTGTCGAAAGCTGGATCTCTTTTTTCATAGTTGCTGACCTTTCGTAGATATGTGGCTGCAATTTGCGTATTTGGATGCTCGTGATCCGTGTTATTTTCCTTTATCAGCCGAATTTTGAAATTGTTACCAGACTTTAGTAGAGTTGTGAGAGTCCTCCAACCATGGGTCGGCATAGCGTTCTTTTGCTTCACAACAATTATGCGATCTGGAGCTTCTATTGCTTTGATGAAAAGCTGGTGCATGGCCTGTAGATTAAGGATGTTCGTCTGAGCACAACTGTCAACAAAAACCGTCAAGTGATGCACTGGACCGTTCTGAGATCGAACTTTGACGTTTGCTTGGAAGAACTGTGATGGATCTAGTTCGGTTGATCTGAAAAGCATCTATTGTCTCTGTGAGATGCGGTTTGGGCTGGCTAGGACTGCCATGAAGAGTTGTATAATGATCCAGGTAGCGGACGAAGCTGCAATAATTTCTGCATTCGAACTGCAGTGAAAACTTGACAGCAGCTTCCGAAACCTTACAGGAACGTTTTTGTATCTATTCGTAAATTT